TCGGAAAACAGACCGGGGGATTCTGGAGAGTTCACAGATGTCACTTCAATAACTGTTGATAAACTGAGATCTGAGTCTCAATGCTGGGCCAGAATTCTCTCTTACAGAATTATGGTTTATATTTTTTTCCTACATCTTCTCTGCTATGTTTATGGCTTAAATAATGGGGAGAGAGTTTAGCTCATTTCTGCAAATATAAAATGGCATAAAAAACTTTACTTTTAAATTAACTGAAAAATTATCTTAAATTAAGCATTTAAACACAGCTGACCTAGACCACACTAGGTTTCAATGAGTACAACATAACCAGTTACTCATATCTTATATAGATCAGGTCACATTTTAATACTTTCTAATGGCTACTGTGAAGAATGTGCTCACTTATCCCTTTAGACAATTCCTTACAGTAGACAGGGTAGGGATAATTAGAGGAAACATCTTGGGAGGAGTGGCTGACTGATTCAGGTTCCCAGAGCCTAGCTGGGCTACTAACCTACTGCCCCACATTGAAAAGTGACATTTGGCCCAGCTGTGGTGTCACAATGCTCTGCTGGAGGAAGATCTGGGCTCAATTCCCATTCCCAGGTCAAATAGTACACACCAGAAGTGCATGCATACCTATGCTTTCATTGCCTGGAAAGGCAGGTAGGGAGATAATACCTGAGATCATGTTGAGGCACGTGTCTCCTCTATCCTCACCCTTGTCTCAGAAGAAATCAGTGAATAAACTTTAAAAGAAAGGCAGTAAAGTGGCTTTTGTATTCTTGGGCAACAGTGCATACTTCACATCCTGTTCATGTGTCAGAATTCAGGATCTCACTCGGAGGCCACAGCTGACAAAGTTTGTCAGCCTTGACACAGATGTTCCAATAGCTTGGTGTTCTTCTCACCTTTGTGTCACTGATAAATCAAGAAAATCATCTGGCTTTCCTAAAATCTCACTAGTGCCCCAAATCTCAAAGAACTGGGCTTAGAACTCAATGATGACATACAGTTCATTTGGCCTGATCGCTGTCTCCCAACACACAAACAGATAATCTCCTCCCCTGACAGCCAATAAAAAGAAAATAGTAATGAGAAGCAGAGCTTATAAATTTCCATTACACTTAATGCCTGATTTCACTTAGTTAATGGATTCATTTGTTAGAGCAATTTGTGTAAATCCCCAAGGGCCTGCTAAGGTTGTTGCCTTACGGTTTTATCACATCATATACTTCCTTTATTCCTATCCTTTCACAAATAGTGGATTGGCAAGGAACTTTGGAACAACCACTGCTCGAATATAGGTAAATTATAAATAAAGTATAAAACAGAGCTTTTCATGCCCCTAGGGTTTCTTTGAGCAACAAAGAGCAATTTCATTTTTTGTATGTTTCAGCTGATTCATAAATCCTGCTGCCAGAGCCTATCAGCTTTGTGTTCACTCCAGACTTATTTTTCAGGAGTCAGCGTGTCCCCTTTGGGTTTCTATCCATGGCTCTGAACTGAAGGGTCATGGGAACCATCTGAAGTCAGTATAGCCACACCGCCAAGGACATCCCTCTTTCTGGTGGGAGCAGGCAAAGAGTAGAGTTGTGGTCTTGTATACCCTGTGGTTATACAAAGACGGGAGACCTTGCTGGGCTCTGAGTGAGGTCATTTAGCCAGTGAGAGATCTGCAGTGATCAGGCCTCAGCTGCATGACTTATACACATGTGTGAATGAGAGTGTTAGCATAATCCTTGGCCAACACTGGTGCTTCCAATCTCAGCCAGCCCCCTAGTGCATCTGTTCCCCTTCATACTAATGGGATGGAAACGAGAATTGCAGATGAATAGAATCAAATCTGTGCCTGACCCTTAGGCAACAACTTCATAGAGGCTCTCCACTGGGGCTAGACCCAGAATGAAGGTCATCCTTAATTGCTCCACAGTCAGGGAAAATAGGGACCTCCACTGGTGGAAGCTCAGAAAGAACAAGAAACCAAATTCTGCCCACCTAAAATTGATAACACAAATGACTATTTGTACAGTTAAATGACCGTCACAAATACATAATTATGGTCTCCTATACAGAATAAGTACATAACTTATGAAGTGCTTTAGAAAAATGACAAAGGGGCCAGCTGGTGGCATGGTAGTTGGAGTGCTGGGCTCCCACATGGCCAACTGCAGTTTAAAGTCCAGGACCTGAAGGCTTGCTTTCTCATGTTCTCTCTCTGAATCAATCAATCTCTCTCTCTCTCTCTCTCTCTCATAAGTACACATGCTCTATAGCAAAATTTAAAAATAATAATAATAAACAAATGACATAAAAATTGTATTATCTCCTAGTTGTACTTCAAGGAAAGGGGATCTGGTAAGGGTTGTGGGCTAATGGAGAGGAAATAGGTGAAGACACGATTGGAAGAGCTAAAGTGCTCTACATCAGGAGGGGCCCCAGAGGGAACAGAAGGAGGAACTGAAGATTGAGAGGCTTGGTAGAGAGATAGAAGTGGGTACAGAGAGGCTTGTGGATGGCAGAGAAGGGTTAGATAGAGACGGCAAGACTTTGAGAGGGAAATGCAATGTGCTTTGTAAGGTAAACTCTGCAGCCCTCCCTGTGAAACTGACCTAAAATCCATTTTCTGCCTATTACTGTATTATGTGAAAAGAACTTGATAGACAGAGCTTCTCCATGTGTGGAGATGTTTGCAGAGGCTGGCTTAAAAATATAGTGACATGTCTATGCAAAACTCTCTTTGGAGGGGAGGGTCCTTAGAGGGACTCCAAACAGTAGCTGGAACTAGGGAGAAGGACAGGTCCATGTGACAGCAGACTGGGAGAAACATTAAAATGCCAGGAGCAGAGAAAACGCCAGGAGCAGAGAAAACAAACACAGCTTTCCAACGTGAACCCTAATTCCAAAGTCGTAAGGACAAGTTACTGTAATTGGTGCCTGCCTGCCAGTGGAACTGCCTTCTCCGAGAGCAGCTCCAAGAGCAAGCAGGACTGGGTGGATGGTTAGTGCAGGGGGTGCTGGCTGTTCAGTGTTGGTGGTGTGGGTGTCTCCTGGAAAAGGAGGAAACAGGTGGAGTCCTGCTCCAAGGCTGGCAAGGGGACAAAGGTGGAGCTTGCCGACACTTGGGTCACAAAGGAATAACTGAGTGAGTGGCAACTTTATGGGGCAGATATACAAACCACAATATCAGTGAAGTCACTTAACCTCTTCGTGGGGACTAAGGCCAAGTTGGGGGTTTGTGTATGGACTCTCCCTGAGGCTCAGCTCTACCACTTACAAGCCATTTAACATCTCCAAGCTTTGGCTTCATTTCATTAAAATGGGGATAAAATTAGTGCCTACTTCAAAGGGTTATGGTGAGGTGAACATGAGGTAACTTATAGTCCAGAATATATTAATGATGATATTTATTATGGCAAGACCAGTTGCTAATTGATATATATATGTGATACCTATTTATTCCTAACAAGGTAAAACTCCCACATCAATTTCCTAGTCTATTTTTGGCTTCTTTCATTTATAATCCTCATTTTTATCTCCTAAACGATGGGACAAGCATATGCTTTAAAATCCTAATGATCATCTGCTTTGTTATGGAATCCTTAGAGGTGTAACTGGTGCATTTTACACTGAGAATATTAATATAATTTTGTATTCATGGATATATACAATGCTAGATGACTATAATACGTAATACGGTGGTTTCTGCGTTATGATAAGTCTCACATTTGAAGGTAATTAGGATGGGCCTGCAGAGAGCATGGAGGTTAAGGCAGCTGGATCCCACATGGCTGACTACACATTTGTTATGAGTTCCAGACCTGGCAGCTTAAAAAATATACTTGGCATGTGTGCATGCGTGCGCAAAGTCCTAAGAGGAGAATGGAGAAGGAAGGATTATGATGTAACCATCCCCACCGTGGGCTACTTTCTCACTCCCTCACCCCCTGTCTCTGGCAAGTGCATACACCCTATAGCAAAAAGAAACAAGAAAAGAATTAGAATGAAGATGGCCTGGGACCAGCATTTAACATAGTGGCTATGTCGCTGGACTCCCATGTAGTCAACTGTGGTTTGAGTCCCGGACCCAGTGGCTTAAACGTACGCCAGGCACATGTGCATGCATGCCCAAAATCCCGAGAAGAGAATGGAGGAGAAGGGATTGTGGCGTGGCCATCCCCCCAGGGGGTGATTTCTCGCTTTCTGTCTCTCTCTCTCTCTCTGTCTTTCTGGTGAGTGCATGCACCCTATAGCAAAACCTCTCCAAAAAAAACAAACAAACAGAAAAAGAACCCCAGTTTCTCTGTGTGATATGGGGACCCGCAGAAAGCTGTACAAGTGGTTTCCAGACATGGCATGCAAACTGAGCAGTCTTATGAACTTTCTTTGGTACAGTGTCTGCCCTTTCCAAACCTGACTTAACCTCCCCCTGCACCTTCCTCCCTGGTTCTGTTCCCTCCAGCAGGTCCAGAATGCTTCCTTTACACAGTAACCATCTGGAAGGGTTGGGAGTGAGTTGCTTACAGGTCCCCCCACGTCCAGGCTGTCTGTGCTGTCTGCTGCACCCAGGCTGGCGGTACCTCGTCAAAACAGAGTGAGGGTGGAGGACGGAACCTCAGTCCCAGCCTCGGCTTCTGTGGGTTTCAGCCAGAACCCAGGTGTTATTTTAGTGCAACTTCAGTGTTTAATTTGAGGATGTGTGTGGACCAGAAGGAGGGACCAAAACATGATTTTTCCTCTTTGGCCAAATGATTAAATTTGAAGTTCTAAAAAATGCAGAGCTTGGTCCCATGCTGTGTCCAATCGGGAAGAGATAAGTGTCCTGGAAATCCCTCCCAGGCCGGGGACCATCCTTCCTTAACCACCGGTCACCTCACAGCCCTGTTTACTGTGAGCATCACCTGGGCAGTCTGTGGTTACCAACTGACCAGGAGCCCTGAGTGCTGACGCTTCCCCTCTTGAAAGTGTGCGTTGTGCCTTTGCTGGGAGAACACTCGACAGGTTCGTCTGATTTCCCACAGCCCTGCAGGCGCCACAAGCAGCATCCACTGAGCCATGGCTGAAGGGGAAATCACGACCTTCGCAGCCCTGACCGAGAAGTTTGATCTGCCTCCAGGGAATTACAAGAAGCCCAAACTTCTCTACTGTAGCAACGGGGGCCATTTCTTGAGGATTCTTCCAGATGGCACCGTGGATGGGACAAGAGACAGGAGCGACCAGCACAGTAAGCCCCCGTCTTTACTGAACCCCCTTTGCTTTTGGATGCCTTCCTTAGTCAAGGATGGGGAGGTGGGACCTAAGTACTAGTACCCAAGTACTGGTACCCTCTTCTTCAAAGTTCTACTCAGGCATGACACATTCAGAAGTGGGGGTGCATAAGGGACATACATGAAAAGGGTCTAGATTGGGAAAAGAGTTGTGGGAGCTACCGCTTCCCTAAAGGTGTTCTGTTTCAAGTTTTTGAAAGGACTCTCTGCTGGCCCAGCACAACTGGCAGGTGTTCCACTGCTGTCAGTTTTCTGGGGTTCTGTCACTAGTGACGACCTGGCCCCCAAGACTGGTCAGGGGTCTGCTCGCTCCACGATGGAAAGGGCCAGATGGACAAGGGTGGTAAATCCTATGCAAAGATGTGGGCTCGGTTTCAAGTTAACTGACTCTCCAGGTAATGTTTCCACTGGGCTTCCCTTGTGAAATCCTAGTTCATAATCATAGTCTTACACGTCGTAAATTACGCGGCCTTCCCTCTGCGTATCGCGCAGATGTGTTTGTGGTAACCAGGAGGGGTAAAATCATTCTCCAGACCTTATAGAAACTGGAGAGTGGGAGCCATTCGAGCCAAGTGCTGAATATCTTTTCTGGGCCTTCCTGACCCCCCTGGCTCTAAGATGGTGATGATAAATGAAGGCATGGCTTCGGAGAAAAAGAATCTTCTTGACTATTTACGTATAAAAAATGTCTTCCTTCTGCTTGCCTCCTTCTGGATTTGGTGTGTCTGTTTGATATTAGGTGTCTAGACCCTACTGTGATGTTACTGGAGATTCCCTGAGTACCACTGAGACGTTATATGTTGAAGAGGAGCCAAAAGTCAGATCTGGTCTCTGCTTAGAGGGTTGACAATCTCAGAGTCAAATATGCTGCAAATCAAGAGAAGGAAAGTGTGAGTGAAATCAGGAGACACGGAATGGACAGGCAGGAAGTCGAGTCCTGTAGGCTTTAAGATGGAATGTGAGCCACTGGCTTTGACATTATGTTTCATACATCAGGTGGTCTTAATAACTCATAAAATATGCAGAAAGGTTGCACACTGAGCATAAGTAACCACTTCAAGGGTGCACTTTCCCCACAGTTGCATGGGTAACACGTCCACAGACCAGAGAGCAACGTCCTTTCCTTCCCGCAGGCACCCAGACCCTTGAGAGGGGGAGCAGGACAGCAAAGCCTGGGGCTTGCAGCTGTAGGAGTCAAGGCTGGGGCTTTGTTTTAATGACTTGTTCATGTGGGCCTGTGGAATGCCTTATACTCAGTGGAAACAGGTATCCGGGACTCCCACATGACTAACTGTGATTTGAGTCCCAGACCTGGCGGCTTTCTCTCTTTCTCCTAGCCCCTCATTCTGCCCCTCTCTGGTCAAATTTAAATAAGTAAAGAAATAAAAAACCAAACTAAATAACTACTTTAATAAAACATACATAACAAATGTTTGTTGCAAATAAAGTAACTTAATTATAGTCCATTGTGTTAGGCATAAGACACAATTTATGTGATCTGCCCCACACAACACAAGGGGAACTGCTTTAATCTCTCTGGGTTCTAAATGTTTCTAATGAATACTATCAATTTCATAAATCAATAAGGGATGCCCTTAGAACCCCCAGAGGAGAGTCAACCTAGCGACATGCTCCTTGGGTTAAACTGGCGCTTCTGCGAAACCTTGAATATTGGGGAAGAAGAGGCTATGGGGGCCAGCAGGTGGCGTGGTGACTGGATCACTGGACTCCCACATGGCCAACAGTGGTTCAAGTCCTGGACCTGGCAGCTTGCTTTCCCACTCTCCCTCTTTCTCTCTCTGTGTCTCTCTCTGATAAAAATGAATAGTAATAATAAAATAAATAATTCTTTTTTTTTAAAAAAAAGAGGCTATGAGTGCTAGTACTCTGTTCAGACAGCATATGACGTCAGTGTCATCATTCCACCCTTGCCGTTGTGAGCTGCATGCTGGGTATGTAACAGTGACCTGACCCAGATGTCAGGAACCCCTGGAATTCAGTACAGATTAGCCAGAGGAGCTTATATGAGGATGTCTGTATCCAAATAATGCTGGCTTGTTTGCCTAGTGAACTTGGCCAAGTGACTTATCCTCTCTGGCCTCACTTTTCTCACCTGTAAAATACTCCTGACAATAGCACTTGCTCACAGGTTTCTTGGGAGGATGAAATGAGCTAACGCATTGAGAGTTCTCGGCATGGCACCTGGCCAGAACAACAGTGAGGCACATGTTGGTCCGTACTGCTGTGAGCGTCAGGGTCTCCATACGTTCACCCAGAACGGAAATACAGGATAAGTTTGAGAGACCTCCTAGTCTCATCTCTTCTATAATACCGCCTCTCAAGAAGAGCAGGGCTCTAGACCCCTGATTTGATTCCCGGTCTTTCTAACACCCTTCAGAGTTGTTGGGTTGGCCTATCTATCTATTTATCTATCTATTTATCATTTAGTTATTTAATTTTGTTTATCCTAGAATTAAGAACAGGATCAAGAGGACAGGAGTCAGGGTAAATAAGGTGGGTGGGCAGAAATCCATCTCTGTATCTATCAAGGCCAAGAGAACTGGATAATCCACGTACCCTCTGCCTAGTCAGGAGCTGAGATTTAAACTCAAGAAAGCTTGAGTTCATATCCCTACTAGGTCACCTTAGAATGAGGCAATTAACATTCTCGCCATTTTGCATTAAGCACTCTGCAAAGGAAGTTCAAGTCCCCTTGCCCTATGATTCTTTCAACCATCCTCTCCTATCTAGAAATTTAAATGTCTCTAGTGTTTCCAGCTGTGTAATTTTGGGGTAAAAATAGTTCATATTACCAAGACTCAGTTTCCTTACCTGTATAATGGGACTAATGACATTGCCCTGCACACCTCAGAAGGCTGAAGACTATTTAATAAGATGCTATAGGTGAGAGGAGTCCTGGACATGAATACGCTCCCTGAGTGTGGTTCTGTCGCCCTCTTCTGCCCAGTGGTGGTATTGCCACAGTTCCTTCTGAATTTCCAAGGTCATTCAGAAACAGAATCTACCCAGGGACAAGCATAGAGTGTATATTCCTTGGGTAAGCTGATCAGCAGTCTGGAGAGCGACTGGTTTCTATTCCTTGATCATTAGTTTAAGCCTGACTAGAGTCTGTGGAGACAGGTAGAGTGGCACTCAGACTTCCTACAGCAAGAGCATTTCTAAAGGCCAAATATTTAAATAAATCATGCAAAATAGAACTGTATGTCCTTTAGCTCAACAAGGTAAAAATAACTCCCTTTAACAGTTTCTCCTAGTCCTAGACTAGCTGATCTTTCCTGGGCAAAACTGGAAAGTTTTCGATTTGTCTTCCTCCTACCTAGAGGAAAATAAGTTGCCTTCCCTTTCCTTTTCTTTTCTTTTCTTTTTTTTTTTTGTCCCTGCAATCTTTGCTATAAGGTGTATGCGCTTACCAGAGAGAGAGGGAAAGTGAGGAAGCACCCTCCCAGTGGGGCGACAACTCCACAGTGGCCTCCTTTCTATTCTCCTTCTGGGATTTTGGACATGCACGCACAGGCACCTGGCACGTTTCTCAAGCTGCAGGCTCCAGGACTCAAACTGTGTAGGCAGCTGTGTGGGATCCTGCTGCCTGACCCACCATAAATTGTCTTTCTTATAGTGGTGTAACCTATAACCAATGTCTGGGGACAGACACTTCCAATACAGACCTGAGTTAGACATCTCTTCTGGTGGAAATGTCAGCCCATAGACAAGATAGCTTTGGTTTGTCCCTTTTCATTTCGCGAATCCTGGCTCTAGGGAATTAATACTGAACACTTGCTTCATTGCCAGCCATGACCAGAGGAGCTGCAGGTTCTGGGGCACCGTCTGTGAGAAGGTTGATGGGTCCTCCAGGAGAGGGAGGGTCTGGAAGAGGTACAGTACAGGGGAGAGCCCAGGCCCATTTTGGAGCCGGCACCGAGGACCGCTTCAGTGCCATGCAGCTCCCGTGGAGTTAGAATTCTACATTTATTAGTGTGATTTTCTAATGGTTTTTCTTTCCCTCTGGACTCCCTGTAGACAAAGACTTTGTCTCTCATTGCTGAACACTGCAATTTCGGTGTCTCGCACATTGCCTGACACTTGGTATAGTGCCCAGTAAACACGAATTGGATGAGTAACTGAATCATATGGGTGGCAGACGAATTCAAACTCAACAGTACATTCAATGAGTCCCTGCTTATTGCCAGGCATAGCTGACGTGTGCCAGGCACTGTGCTTTCAGTTCCGCCTAGCCACCATCCTGTGGGGCTCCTCATTATCATCACCCCGAGAACACTGAAGCTAACAGTGTGGACCAGCTCCTAACCGGGAACTCTTGGCACCAACCCCCAGCTTCTGCTCAATACTCAGTTCTTTCCATATCCCACCATTGCCCCTGACACGCACACTCTGACGGTGGCTTCGGCCCACAAACTGATTAAATAAACAGGCTGGATTCACCCAGCCTGTCCTGTGGGTCAGGTGGGTATTGGCGCAAGTGCCACCCTGCTGTTTATTTGTTCCGTGTCACCTTGAAAGTTACTTCTCTATGTGCTGCAGATTCCTTGTTGTTGTTTTTTTTCTTTCTTTTTTAAGAGAGAGATTTTTGCTAGAGTGTGTGTGGTTGCCAGAAACACAAAGAGAGACAGAGGGACAGAAAGCAAGAAATCACCCCCACTAGGAGGGATGGCCGTGTGCAACCCCTTCTCCTCCACTGCCCTCTCAGGACTTCAGGCATGGATGCACATGCGCCCAGTGTGAGTTTTAAGCCGCTGGGTCGGGGACTCGAACCACAGTCAACTACATGGGAGTTCAACAATGTAACCATTACACCATCTGCTGGTCCCCTGATTCCTTGTTTTAAAAACAGTAGTGACAATAGTACCTGCATTGGAGAGCAGAAATTTTCTATTTTGTGAGAGGGAATGTGTGTGTGCCACTTGGACAAGAGGAAAGAGGAGAGAGGAGCACACTTGACAGGGTCTCAGCACGATACCCTTTCCCTAGGCCTCCAGCTCCTAAGGACCCTGTGGGGCCTGCATCCATGGTCACCATGTTTTTGAGGTGACCCTTGGGTTCAAACCCGCAGTTGGCCATGTGGCTTCCAGCCTTGTAGAGTTCTTGGATAACCACAGTGTCATAGCAGCTGGGCCAGAAAGTAGGCGTTTCGAACGTGCAAACATCCGTGGACGTGTTTAGCACACTGCCAGGTACAGGATGAGCACTTGAAAAGTGCTGTGTATCACCCTCATCGCCATCATCCCTAGGTTGACATGGCCTTTCTCATCTAGCCATCGGATCTTTGGAGTCTAGTGAATAACTCTCATGGTTGCTCATATAACTGAGGGGACTCTTCACATCAGGTTCTGGGGGACTACCTAGGTTGGGGCTCTTGAGGCCTGGCACCCAGGCAGAATGTGCCCATCCTGGCAGCAAACCCTGCTCTGCCTAAATGCTCAGGCCCAGCAAGCTGCCTTGGCAAAGGTGAGGATGAGCTCCATGTCTGATTTCCTTCTTTTTGAGGCCATTTCCTCTCTGGCAAGGATGAGCCAGGACTTACCCCTCAGTGAGGTTAATACCTGGAACAATAGTATGCTCACGAGCAGCCCATACCACAGCCTCTTCCTGCAGCTGCCGGCCCTCGCCCCTCCGAGCATGGAAGAGGTTGAACAGAGAGCAGGACTCCCGGCACTGCTCATCACGCAAATGGAAATGCTCTTGAACAAAGTGTGTGCCAATCAAATATTTATACATCGAGCCACATCCCAGAGGCATGAGGGGAGTTCCCTGATCAAAAGAATCCTACTTTGCAGCCCTTATAAAGGGCAGACTGTTCGGTGAAAGCTCACCTTCCCCAATGTTCTGGGAGAGTCCAGACTCCCATTCTTGGATTTGATGTGACTCGGCTAAAGCTTGGCTCCCAGCAGCCTGACCCAGAGTCAAACAGCCTTGCAGATAACTGGGTGGGCAGAGCGGGGCCCTGTCCCTGGACCTCAGAGACAGGGGAAGGTCTTCAGGCAGAAAGGTTCCCCCAGCTGGGAGTTCTAACCTTAGTCATTTGTGATATAAAGGACTCCCTGGCCCTCTTCCCCACCATTCCTTGTCTGATTACAAGGAGGGAATTTTCTAGAGAAACTTTATGGTGTATGGGCGTGCATCTGTCTCTGGACTAAATCAAAATTTTCCAGGTACCTTTTTCAGACCCTAAAGGAGCAGACACCTTTTATGTGTCTTAAGAAAACTCTTTTTCATACATGTATGTATTCCAGACCACTGGAATATTTTTTTCTCCCTAATGTGATTTTTCCCCTTCTCTGTCTCTCTCTCCAATGTTTAACTGGGCCCAGCTTGTGGCTACATTTTAATTATAAATGCCACTGACATAAAACGACCTGGCCGCGTTCTGGATGAGGCTGACCTCACTTTGAGTAAACACGGCAAAGGACGGGAAGTCTCCAGCCCAGAATAACCAGGCACGTAATCTCTTTCGCCTTTCTCTAGAGAGCCAAGGTGGAAGGCAGGATTAAAGGCCGTGAATATTCTACAGACGCAGAACCTCCCTCCCCACCTCCCCTGCTCAAGGGATCAGTAGTATCTTATCTTTGAAAATGCCCAGGGCAGGACAGGAAGATGTTGGGGTGGTTTGGAGCTTAGAAATGGGGGACAGTGCCACAAAACTCACTTCTCTTTTCCCTGGCAGACTGTAACTCCCTTCTCTTCTTCCTCCCCTTGGAGACATAGGGCTAATACACCCTATTGTGAACAAACTCCAGCTAAGGCCTAGCGGGAGGCTTTGGGAGCAAAGAGAAAACCAGATGCAGAGGCTGGGAGAGTCACTCCAAAGTTCCCCTTTGCTAGGTTCCCTAAGTGCACAGAGACCTATGGAGGGGTTTAAATAATAAGTATGGGACAAGGTAGGAGTACGGTTCTCAAAGGTGATTTTGTACATTTCAGGTTATTTGACTTTTTTCTTTTTCTTTTTCTTTATTTTATCTTATTTTTTTTTGAGAGAGAGATTTTTGCTATAGGGCACATGCGGTCACTGGAGAGACAGAGACAGAAACAGAGAGACAGAAAGCAAGAATTAGCCCCCAGGGAGGATGGCCACAGACTTACCTCTTTTTTTTTTAAAGGTTTTTGCTATAGGGCACGTGCACTCGCCAGACAGACAGAGAGGGACAGAGAGACAGAAAGCGAGAAATCAGCCCCTCATGGAGGATGGCCATGCCGCAATCCCTTCTCCTCCATTCTCCTCTTGGGATCTTGGGCACGCACGCACACGCGCCTGGCGTTAGTTTTAAGCCACTGGGTCCGGGACGTGAACTGCAGTCGACTACCTGGGAGTCCAGCAACATAGCCATTACGCTAACTGCTGACCCCAGACTTACCTCATTTTTCAAAAAGAACTTGTCTCTCCATCCTTGGGATGGTTTAGGGCCACTGGCCTTCCTGTTCAGAGACAGCAGGTCTTAAGTTCCCCACGTGGGATAAACAGGAGGTGCTCCTCCCACTTTGGTCTGGTGTGATCCTGGTGGACACTGCTGAAAAGGAAATGAAGAGGGAAATTGTGGTTTGAAAGGTTCCTCACCCCAGCTTGCCACCCCAGGTCTCCTGGGTTCCTGGCTGCCCCCAAGATCGACCTCTTGTGGACACCTGTGCTCAGGTCTAGATGCAACCTGGTGTCAAGCCTGAGCTGGTCACAGGACATCTCAGGGCACCTCAGGAACAAAAACACAGGAGACTATGCCAGCTCTGAGTGTTTTCACATTGACTAAGAACAGAGCTTTGAAATATAGGGACCAGCAGATGGTGTAATGATTACGTTACTGGGCTCCTGCATGGCCAACCATGTTTCAAGTCCTAGACCTGATGACTTGAAAGTCACGCCAGGTGTGTGTGCATGTGTGCCCAAGATCCCGAGAGAAGAATGGAGAAGAAGCACTGTGGCCATCTCCTTGGGGGTGTAATTTCTTGCTTTCTGTCTCTCTGTTTCTCTCTGGCGGATACACACACCCTATAGCAAAAAATCTGTCTAAAGAAAAAAAAATCAGCTTCCACCTGGAAAGAGATCAAGGAAATTTGCAGAACACAGCTAATTCTTGATGAAAATACTAAAATGTGCACTAGATACAGAGCAAACACCGGCATTCCATCACCCAGATTTAAATGGTTAGTTTTACCAGTTGGTTGTTCTTGCCTCAAAATTATTCAAGAATTAAAGTGTTAGGGGCCAGACTATGGCATGGTGGTTAAGGTGACTGGATTCCACGTGCCTGACTGTGCGGTTCAAGTCCTAGACCTGACAGTTTGTGTGCACACAAGAGGAGGGAGCGATGGAAGAGAAAGGACTGCAGTGTGGCCATCCTCCATGGGGAGGGGGGTGTTCTTACTCTCACTTTCTGTCTCTCTTTGGCTAGCACATGTGCACTCTGGTAAAAAATATTTTTAAGAAACAAAATGTTAGGATAAAAGAGGCATTCCCTCCATTCCTCTTCCCAGTTTTAGTCCTTCTTATCTTCCAAGAGAAGCCATTAGGTTGTCGGCAAAGTCCTGACACATTTTTACACAGAAAAACAACCCAATTCTTGTATAAATTTAATCTGTATCCAGTATACAGTTTTCTTTGCTTTCTCTTTTATTTATAAGCCAGAAGACATATGTGCTTTTTAGAGAGAGACAGAGATATATAGAGAGAGAAGGACAGAGAGAAAGCCCCTCCCAGTAGAGTGTGACCACACCACAATCCCTTCTCCATCATCTCTCCGTTCTGCATGCATGCACATGTGCCCAGTGTGTCCCTCAAACTGCCAGAGTCTGGGCTCAAACCACAGTCAGCCATGTGGAATCCGGTTTCCCCAACCGCTAGACTACAGAGTCGGTCCTGCAGTACACAATTTTCTATTTTACTACATATATACTCAAGAGCCATGCATATTATTTTGTGTGTTTTTTAAATAAAATTTTCATCACAGGTTTATTACATTCTCTAACAACTTATTTTTTCACTGTATACTATTTTCTACTTTTCTTTTTTTTTTAAGAGAGATTTTTGCTATAGGGTGTGTGCTCAGCAGAGAAACAGAGAGACAGAAAGTGAGAAATCACTCCCTGGGTGATGACAGTCCCTTCTCCTCCATTCTCCCCTTCAGATTTTGGGCATACACACACACACACACACATGCCCAGCATGAGTTTTGAGCCACCAGGTCTGGGACTCAAACATAATCATTTCGTCAACATAACCATTTTATCATCTGTTGGTCCCATATTTTCTACTTTTCTTTAAGAGAGACTGCATATGCATAGTTTTTGAAAAGGTCACGAAAAATGCATATAAAAAACTATTCATGGATTTCAAAAATGTTTTACACCAATGTAAAGTTGTACTTTAATTCCATTTCTCATGAACGTTTTCAAGTGTCCTCTTTCTTTCTTTTTTTTAATTTATTCATTCGTTTTTTTAATTTGACCAGAGAATTACACAGAGAGAGAGAGAGAGAAAGAGAGAGGGAAAGTGAGAAAGGAAGCCACCAGGTCTGGGACTTGAACCATGGTCAGCCATGTGGAAGTGTCCAGCGCCTTAACCACCACGCCACCTGCTGGTCCCCTCAAGTGTCCTATTATAGAGAGTTTTTATTGCAGCTGTTAGACTTTTGTTTGCTTTTTGCTCAAAAATAAGTGGAGTTTTGTTGAGCGTGGTACTTCATCATGCATAGGCTCGTCCGTGTGTGTCTCTAAGTACGTGTAAGCTCTACGTGCAGGGGCCGTGTGTGGCACTGAACTCAATTCCCAGTACACGACATATAAATATGTGTCGGCTGAACAGCTCTGCATCCCCCACCCCTGACTGCCTCAAGAGGAAGGAGCTGCTGCTGTGTGGCCAGCCCCTCTCTTTGAGCACCCCCTTTCTCACACTCTCTCATTCTTCACTCTTCCTCAGCAGCAGCTGTGAGAGGATGGAGTCTGGAAAACTGGAATGAAGTCACACAAGAGAGTTGGACACCTTGTTAGCTACAGGAGCAGCGCAGGCTGGGTGTTGCCCCTTCCTGCCAGCCCTGGTTGCAGAAGGATATATGTTTAGGAAACGTAGCCAGAAAGAAATCCAGTGAAAATGAGCTATGAAACTTGGACATCCTGGAGAAATAATATTTACAGAGGAAACTCTTGAGACGGACTCTCACCAGCGCAACAGCCCTGGCGTTGGGGCTCGTGGCTGAGGGCTGCCGTCATGAGCTGAGCAGCCTCTGGCTGCCTTGTTTACCTCTGTGGGGCCTTTCCATGGCCACAAGGGGACTCCCTAGATGGCAAAGTCAACTCTGTTAGCCCAGGACAAGACAAACGGGCCCTATATAAGGCTGCAGAAGGGAATGAAGGCAGCAGGATGTGGAAGTTTTTAAAGAATCATCCTTGATTACCTAAAAGGATCTGCCCTTTGGGATTTCTGTAACCTTATATTGTGTTTAACTAAAAACCTACATATATAGCTAGTATGCAGGAAAAAGCCCCAAGCAACCAACCTCATCTATTCCATGGCTACAATGGGGGTTTTGGATGGCCATCTTGCACAGGTCTGATCTTAAACACGAAGGGGTCCAAGCAGTGGAGCGTGGCTGGATTTGGAACAATCCATGCATAACTGTAGCTAGCCCAGGAGGTTGTGAGGAAGAGAGAAAAAAGCAGGATACTTGGACTACTCCAGCCTGAGCACTGGTCGCAATTTTCTCCTTTCTAATAAGCACAACCTTCCATAAAACACAGCCTTGCCAAGCTTCAGCGCCTCACCTGCGGGTCACACAAGCGCTCCTTTCTGCCAGGGAATGCTCACAGGAGCAGATAAAGTCACAAGAGCTGGAGGAAGTGATGAAGATGGTACTGGCCACTTCCATGCTTTCAATCGTTTCATCCTTACAGTAACTAGCATTTTAGATAAGGAAACAGAGATCAATGATTTGCCCAAAGATCACACAGCTAACGCATAACAAGCCAGAATGTGGAGAGATGCAATTTCACTCTGGAGCCCACACTTTTTTTTTGAGAGGTTTTTGCCATAGGCCGCGTGCGCCAGACAGACAGAGAGAGACAGAGAGACAGAAGGCGAGAAATCACCCCCCAGGGGTATGGTCACGTTGCAATCCCTTCTCCTCCATTCTCCTCTCGGGATCTTGGGCACGCACGCACATGTGCCTGGCGTGAGTTTTAAGTCACAGGGTCCGGGATGCGAACCGTGGTCGACTATGTGGGAGTCCAGCGACATAGCCATTATGCTAACTGCTGGTCCCAAGCCCACACTTTTTATATTAAGTTAGCAACCAGCATGATGCTTGGCTTCACATTGTAGGTGATCAATAAATGATTATCCTCTTCCTTTGGTCTTTCTTAAACATACAAGATTATGCTGAGAAATTGATAGAAAAATATACGTGAAAGTTCTCTGAAAACCATAAAGTCCAATGAGAATATATGACATTTGAAAAAAAAAAAAAAAAGAAAGAAAAACCTGGCCCAGTTGTGGCGGCATAAGCAGCAGAGGTGCTGCTGAGTTATGCTGGAAGCCATGTGGGAAAGTTTCAGCTTCATAACCCAGGTCTACTTGTGTCTATGATCTTGGCTGGCTACCGGGCTTCAGAGAGGATCATGGCATGAAGACTCTGTCGAGGGCACCTCTCCCTCCCTCTCCCTCTTTCTCTCTAAAAATAAATAAACTTTAAAAAACCTTTTTTAAAAGCTTTATTGATATATAATTTATCTACCATAGGTTTTCCTTGTATTTTTCTTTTTTTTTAAGCCAGAGGGCACATGTGTACACCAGAGAGAGAGAGCTCACCCCCAACAGGGCCTGGTCATGCCGCAATCCACTTTCCTCCATCCCTTACTCCCAACAGGATCCTCATGCCCACTCCCCTCCCCGCTACACACAGCATATTTCTCAAGTTTCTAGGGCTGGGATTGGGATCTGAACCATAGTGGCCATGTAGGATCTGGTTCCCTTCACATGGCACCTGACTGCTGCACTATGGGGCTGGACGCTCTTACAGCTTTTCTTAACCAAGTTGTACGACCAGTTCTACAACCAAGTTTAGAACATTTTCAAAAAGAAATACCGGGGAACCAGCAGTTAGCGTAATGGCTATGTCACTGGACTCCCACGTAGTCGACTGCGGTTTGTGTCCTGGACCCGGTGGCTTAAAACTCATGCCAGGCACATGTGCGTGTGTGCCCAGGATCCCGAGAGGAGAATGGAGGAGAAGGGATTGCGGCGTGACCATCCCCCCTGGGGGGTGATTTCTTACTTTCTGTCTCTATGTCTCTCTCTGTCTGTCTGGCGAGCGCACGTGCCCTATAGCGAAAACCTCTCAAAAGAAAGAAAGAAAGAAAGAAAGAAAGAAAGAAAGAAAGAAAGAAAGAAAGAAAGAAAGAAAGAAAGAAAGACTGCACTCCTTCATGTAATTCTCCCGTCTCTGCCCCACCCACTCCCAGCTCTGGCTGCCACTAATCTATTTGTTAGCTTAATGGATTTGCCTATTCTAGACATTTCATTTCCATGGAATCATCCAATATGGATGATTGCAACTGGCTCGTTTTCACTTAGCACTATGTTTTCAAGACTCATCCATGTACCATGCATCAGTACTTCCATTTCATCACCAACTGATATTCTATCGCATATAGGATTGTTATTAAATGTATAGACTTGCTTCATAGATTATTAGACCTGGAAATACTAGGTTGTCAGATAAGTCATGACACATTTTGCATAGAAAAACATAGAAAAAATGTCATGACTTGTCTGACAACCCAATATTTTTATAGAGACTAACCCAAATATCTTCCATTTTACTGATCAGGACACTGTGACCAAGAGAGTTTCAGTAAACTAGTGAAGGTCACCCAGACAATGGGTAGCAAGGTCCAGCCTTGAGCCTTGCAGAGCTCAACCTGGTTCCATCTTACTTGGCTCAGAGCATTATTAGAAACTTTACTCATCAGGCAGACGATGACCAGCCGAATCATCTCTCCCAATATTAGCCTACCATCATTCATTCCAGTACGCGTTGACCATTCCCTGTAGTCAGGGCACAACACAATGGTGGAGATGATAAGACCCCTGTCCTTCTCAGAGTGTACATTCTCCTGGGGAGGCAGAAATAAATGAGTAAACCCCTACATCATACAATCATTGTGTGTTATGTTGGGTGCCACTAATGAAACAAAGAAGGAACTGAGGAGAATGATGCAGGGACTAGCATGTCATTGGCAGGAATAGTGGGAAGGGGGTGTGAAAGGATCCACTGGAAAGAGCACCATACGGTAGTTAGAGAAGGCTTCTCCTGGGAGGATATCTATGCTGAGGTCTGGAGGAGGAAAAGAGCTAACTCTGTGAATATTTGGAGGAAGAAGGTCCCTGGAAGAAGGCATAACACCAATGAAGACCCAGGGTGGAAAAGAGCTCAGTGTGTTGAAGAAGTTGAGTAAGTAGAGCAAAGTGAGTGAGCATGTGGTAAGACTATGGCTACAGAAAGCAGGGCCTGCTCACAGTGGAGGTCCTCTGGCCTGTTTTCTCTTGACTATACTTTCAAAACTAATTGAAGATAGGAGAGCCTGTGGGGAAGAAGATTAGTGGCTTCCAGTTCTCTTCCTGTGAATAAAAGAAATTCCACTCACCACCGGAAGCTACAGGAAGTTCTAAGTCTCTATAGCAAAGACCTTCCAAGGACAAGAAAACGGTGTCTTCAGTAGGGATAACACACCTATGCATCACCCTCGGGATGAATCAGAAGATAAGGCAAACAGAAGGAAGTGAGAAAATGCAGGCGTATTAATAGAGAGGTGATTACATGATTACGATATAGCCACATCATGAAACACAATTCAACTGGCATAAAGAATGACGTTATTCTTTCAATGCTGATGTAGAAAGATCTCCAATTAGTTAAGTAAAACAAAGAAAGGTATAGAACTATGTGTATATGTTTCCATTTGTGTAAAAAAATAAATAAAAAGTGGGAAGGATAATACGTATTTGGCCACACAGGCATATAATCTGTCTAGAAGGCCACACATAAAATGTTTCTAGAGGGACTTTCTCACTTGTGTTTCTGTTTTCACTCTGGAGATAGAGCAAGGATCCTATTTGTCCTGTTAGGTTGTTCCTCCATTGGTTGGTTGGTGAGAGGCAGACTTTTCACTGTCTTTTCTGATGTTTCTAAGTTGGAAACATATGAATGCATTTCCTATTCAAAAATAAATAAATAAAATGAAAACAAAGAAAAGGCAATGTGGGTCTAGACCTCCCAACCAAAGCCTTATATTCTGCCCTTTGGCCCCTGATAAGCTGATCTGTATTGACATCAGCCTGTCCTCCTAGAAAACTACTGGGTAGATACTGATTTCTGGTCTAGATTTTTCTGCTCCTTGTAATGATGACCAAAGGAATTATCCAGAAGAATCTAGAGTTCATTCCAATTCCCAAATGGGGCCCATCAAAGTATTTCCCTCCAGAAATGTGCACTGGGGTGAATAAACAAGTGAATGATTGTCAAAGGGTTTTGGACTCCAATTATATATACAGATCAAGCAAGGCACCTATAAGTGTCAGTGGGGAGAGTGTGCCTCGTGTAACTGAAAGTTCTTACCCTTAGTCTCCGGGTTTCTCAACCTGGGCACTCTTGGCTCTTTTGGTTGGATAATTCTTTGCCATGTGGGAGGGTGGGGTGCTCTGCACATTGTAGGGTGCTTAGCAGTGTCCCTAGCCTCTACCTGCTAGTTCCAGAACCACACCACCCCCTCCAGTGGTGACAGCCAAAACCATCACCAGACATCACCGAGTGCTCCCAGTTGAGAACCATTCTCCACTCTCCCACTCATAAGCTGAGGGTGTCCCCTCTGTTGTACCCCAGCGGATTGCCACAGAGGTTGGAGCTTTGATTGAACTTCCTTGTGGGTGAGTTCCCTGAGTCTCGTTTGTGGCAATCAATCCTAACTCCCCTGGGAAACTCTTCCATCTGGGAAAATAATAACCACAGATTTTTAAAAAAATAACAATCTGTCGACAAGAATCTCTCACACCTAGAAGATCCAGGCCATAAAAAGGCACCTCCCCACCCCCAGCTGGTTGATCACTATAGCAGAATGTATTCTGACAGACCAATTGCCTATGCTAGAGCACCCCAGCCTGCTGGGATGATGGAGCCAAGGGAACTGAATGCCACGTCCCCGTGTGATTATTGTCCTCAGGAGACAGAAAGAAAGAAAAGAACGAGGTGTTATGAAGGTGAACACCTTCATTTTGTTTTTGTTTTTAGGGAGATTTTTGCTACAGGGTTCATGTGCTCACTGAAGAGACATAGAAACAGAAAACAAGAAATCACCCTCCTCCCCAGGGGGATGGCCACACTGCAATCCCTTCTCCTCCATTCTCCTCTTAGAATTCTGGGCATGCACGCACATGTGCCCAGTGTGAGTTCGAAGCTGTTGGGTCCAGGACTCGAACCACAGTCAACTATCTAGGAGTCCAGCAATGTAACCATTATGCCACCCTCTGGTCCCCTGGGCCAATTTTTTTTAATAAATAAATAAATTTTTTTTAACAAGAGAGTTAACAGGTAGGAGAGCCTGCCACCGTCTCTCCACACTCTCTCAAGAATATAATTCCCAATGGACAGCTTTCTTTGGAAGGCAAAGAAAAAAGGAACTGTATTTCTATGTTTTGATTCATTTGAGGCTCATCCTTGAAGGCCTGTGAAATGAATGAGTAGAATTTTCCATGGCCAACTGTGCTGGCTGCTGGGCTCTATCGGCAAATGCATAGTGTTTATTTACTTTCGCTCCTGTTATTTTTATTCCAGTTCAGCTGCAGCTCACTGCGGAAAACGTGGGGGAGGTGTACATAAAGAGTACGGAGACTGGCCAGTACTTGGCCATGGACGCCGACGGGCTTTTATATGGCTCAGTAAGTACGAGGCGGACACGCTTCCAGACGCAGCCAAGGTTTGCGGTTTCCAGAGATCTTGTTACTTTGAATGATGCGAACTATAAAGCAACAATTAGTCCCTGTTTGTTGTTTTTTCCAGTAGGATTCCCACCCTCTACTCTGCCTTATTTTAGGCACAAACATAAAAGAGTTCCTTGTGGTAGACTCTCAAAATACTCCAAGGTATTATCCCAGAGACACAGAGGAAACCTTGATTGAAGTTTCGGTAACTGTCAAGTCACTCGTTTCTGAACACCCTGTCCCACTTCATTCATTCCAAAAGTGTTTTCTGAGCACCTACTCTGTGCTAGAGGTAGATCCCTTAATACTTTTCACAAAAATTGCACAGCCTGGACTCTAGCTGTGTGTATGCCATGTCTAAACTTTGAAAAGAGCCCTCTTCATTTTGGAAGGATTGGTTTAAAAGGTGAAAAGTTTAACAACTGAATTCCACATCTATCAAGTGCCTCCTGGATCTAAGTACCATGTTAAGTACTGAAAGGGATGTAAACAGGAATGCGCATGTCAAACCATGCAGACTGTTTATTCAGTAACTAAAATCCTCCACGTCTCCTGCCCCCTCTCTCTCATACTTAATGCTTTAGACAGGTTTGACTCCCTATATCATAATCTCTACAATGAAAGAATAGACATAGAAGCAATCTGATTTTGCCCCTGTTGATATCTCTGCTACGAGTTAATTGGAGAGAGAGCTAAAACCCATGAACACAGGGTTTGAAATTATTTCTGGATTTCAGCGATCCCTTCTGTGTATCGGAATAGCTGCTAATTAAGGGTTGGCTGTAATTCATGACCCAATCCAAACCCCTTTCTTCCTTTTTATGACGATGTCTACAAAAAGCCAGCCAGTAGGGGGAGTCTTCTACATTATATCCTATTTCAAGTGACAGTGGGCACAAAAGACCCTCTTGGGAGCTATCATTTCACTAAGGGTCAAGAGATGAAATCGTCAGAGTAATAGGTAGTCTCTCAAATGCTGTGTGTTCAAATACAGATCAACTGAAGGGGTTTGGAGCATAAGCAGTAACTGCTACACAGAGAGTAGGTTTGGTTGGTTCGGCTTTGGTTTTGTTTTCTTTTGTTTGCTACAGGACGTGTGCACTCACAGGAGAGAGACAGAGAAAGGGAAAGTGAGAAATCATCCCCCATGGGGGATGGCCATGCCACAATCTCTTTTCCTCCATTCTCCTCTTGGGATTTTGGGCACACACACACACACACACACACACACACAAGTACACGCATACGCCTGGTATAATTTTAAGCTGCCGCGTCTGGGGCTCAAACCCTGGTGGGCCATGTGAAGTCCAGGGCCTTAAACACCATACAACCTGCTGGCCCCAGGAGTAGGTTTTTATAAACAGCAGTTCTTCCGATTGGTAATAAAATCTATCTATTTATAATATCTATCTCAGACTCATGTTTCTACCACTTTGCAAGGTTCTTACCCCGCCCCCCCCCAAGCCTTATCTGGAATGAGAATTACAGGGCCAGCCCTGTAGTGTAGCAGTTAAACACCGCACAGAGGAAGTCAGATCCCACAGGGCTGGTCAGGTTTAGGTCCCGGCCCTCGAGGCTTACATGTCACATGTGCATATACCCAGGGTCCTGACAGAATGGGGAATTAGCAGACAGGGAACTGCTGTGTCACCAGGCCCTGTTGTCCACTGGAGGGTGTTCAATGTTGCGCTCTTTGTCATATGACTGTGCACGAGCCCTTTGGCACAATGAAAAGAAAAAAATTTTAGCTTTTTTTTTTTTAAATTGGGAATAGTAATGGATAGAAGCTATTTCACACAGAGCTCAGGAGGGTTCAGGGAGACAACACATAGGACACTCAGGCCAGAGTGGCCAGCATCTCCACGGTGCTACTCAGGGGTAGCTATAAGGCAAGCAGCTTGTAAGTCCCTTACCCTCATCGTGTTTAGCTTATATGTTACAGTTTTATGGCCTCTCCCCCTTAAATCAATTTGGATGTTTATTATAACCTTCTTTTACTTATATGAAAATACTGAGGGAAACTCCACAAATCAAGTGTCCTCTAGGTTCTTCCACCATATCCCTGGCCATCAGGTAATTCACCTGAAAAGCAAGCTTAATTTTATACAAATTAAGACTGTATAAAATTAACAATCTATTACACCTAAGAAGATTTGTATTTTCCTCATTGATAAAAGTTCTACACTATCTCAAAGCTCTGCCTCACACTCTTAACAAATTTTAGGTGTCAAAATTCATCCTAATTTGGGGTCAGCAGGTGGTGTAGTGGTTAAGGTGTGGAACTCTCACATGGCTGACCAAGATTTGCATCCTAGACCCAATGACTTGAAAAATTGCACCAGGTGTACTTGTGTGCATGCCCCAAATCCTGAGAGGAGAAAGGGGAAGAGATTGTGGCCATCCCCCTTGGGGGTGATTTCTCACTTTTCCTCTCTTTACCTCTCTCTGTCTGTCCCTGGTGAGTGCACACACACTATGGGGAAAAAATTCATCCGGATTCAAAATTTTGCCTATGTGAAAAAGACATACTATTTTTAAAAAATAAGTTTGAAAGGCTATATACCTAAATGTTTGTATATATATTTATATATTTATTTCTAGGGGTAGCAAATGGGTGACTTTATACTATGTGAATGTCTCCTTATATTTTCCACATTTCCTACAGTGAGTATATGTTGCCAGTGCAATTGGTAAAAAGAAAAAAAAAAGGCATGCTAAATATAAAAAAGAAAACACTTAAAACAGTAAGCACGAATCAGTAGTTAATCCACACGCTCTCAGTGTTGAACTGAGTGCATTACAAGTACTGACGAATCGTGGCTGAGGGCTGATCACCTCTGATTTCACTTGCTGACTCAGCCGTGACTCAGCTGTTGGGCGTGTGTCAACTGCTTCAGTGTAACAGAGACATCAGGAGGGGACTGTGGCTGTCTTCACTGTCATCACAGACACAGGCCTGATGCCCACTGAGAGCATCAGAGGCTGAGGCCACCACACAGGCCCAGAACTGCCTACCTCCTCCCACCCCCGACAATGCGCATCAGAAGCTAATGTCTGGATCGAGTTCCTCTCGAGACAGCAGAGTCATCCAATTAAATATTATATTTATATCTGATCTTGCTCTAAAATAATCGAAAGTGTCTCACCAAGTTGTCATTTCACTAGATTATGAGTAAGAAGCAGGATATGTCCTCTTTCATAGTTCCTTACTAATAAGAGCGAACTTTATAGATGGTTTTACTTTATCTCAAGAACCAAATTAAATTAGGGGACCATCAGGTGGCATGGTGGTTAAGGCACTGGACACTTTCACATGGCCAACCACAGTTCAAGTCCTGGATCTGGTGGCTTGATTTCTCACTTTCCCTCTCTGTCTCTCACTGGTCAAATTTTAAAAAATGAATGAATAAATAAAATTAAATTACATAATTTAAAAAAAATCAAGTTGAATTCACAGCCTAGCTGATGAGTACTTTATATTTGCAAGGCTCTGTGTCTGGGAGTAGACGCAGGTCAACAACATTTCATGTCTTTCTTCAGGAGGGACAACTGTCTTATGGGACAGACATGCCCAATAATGACATAATTAGAAACCACCAGAAAGAGAATCACCAGCTCTTTTGAATGAAGAGACTGTAGAGGTCACATGACTTGGGAAGGAAGCAAAGTCAGAAGTTTCAGGTCCCTGGAGGAAAAACATGCAGCAGAAGTGCTTCAAAGTCCTTGTTTTAACCCAGATATGGTCATGCACCACATGATAGCATTTCAGTGAACAGCAGACCACATATATGATGGTGGGCCTATAGGAGTATAGCGTGTTGCCTGTGTAGTAGGCTATACCATCTATGGCTGTGCGAGGATACTTTAAATGTTGCAAGACAACAAAATCACCTATTGAAACACCTCTAAGAATGAATTCCTGTCATTAAGTTGCACATGACTATAACAAATGGGGACCAGCAGTTGGCATAAGGTCATGTCGTTGGATTCCCATGTAGTCGACCACGGTTTGAGTCCCAGACCCGGTGGTTTAAACTTATGTCAGGCGCATGTGCGTGCGTGCCCAAGATCCCGAGAGGAGAATGGAGGAGAAGGGACTACAGCGTGGCTATCCCCCCTAGGGGGGGTGATTTCTTGCTTCCTGTCACTCTGTCTCTCTCTGTCTTTCTGGTGAGTGCACATACCCTATAGCTGAATGAATGAATGAATAAATAAATGTGAATTTTTTGACGAATAGAAAGTTCAAAATCTGAGCTCCCTCCACTAACAGATGAAGTAGAAGTAAACAAATAGCGGTAGATATTTTTCAAGTGATGTGGCTATTTTCCCCTCCCAATATATTTATAGCTATATTAGATTCCACTGTATGAATGTGCATTTATCTACTTAACTAATCGCCTTCTTGTGGACATATCGGTTGCTACAAATCTGTTGCCATTATATCCAATGCTTCAAAGACCATCTTCAAAAATACAGTTTTAGGGGACCAGTAGATGGCATAATGGTTACATCACTGGACTCCCACGTAGAGTGCAATTTGAGTCCCAGACCTGGCAGCTTAAAACTCACGCCAGGCATGTGTGTGTGCGTGCCCAAAATCCTAAGAGGAGAATGGAGGAGAAAGGATTGTGGTGTGGTTCTCCCCTCTGGGGGGTGATTTCTTGCTTTCTGTCTTTCTGTGTCTTTCCAGCAAGTACACACACTCTATAGTAAAAGTCTCTCTCTAAAATAATAATAATGATAATGATAATAATACAGTTTTATATTAGCTCAAATAACTCCTAAGGCTTAATTCTAGAAGTGATAGGTCAAAGATAATAAATATTTTAAATTGTGATACATACGGCCAAACCACCCTCAGAAACTTGCTACCAATTAATTTCACCAACAGTTCATAAAAGTGGCTATTTCCGGGAACCAGCAGTTAGTATAATGGCTATGTCACTGGACTCCCACATAGTCGACCGTGGTTTGCGTCCCGGACCCGGTGGCTTAAAACTCATGCTGGGCACATGTGCGTGCGTGCCCAAGATCCCGAGAGGAGAATGGAGGAGAAGGGATTGCGGCATGACCATTTCCCCTGGGGGGTGATTTCTCGCTTTCTGTCTCTCTGTCTCTCTCTGTCTGTCTGGTGAGCACACACGCCCTATAGCAAAAATCTCTCCAAAAAAAAAAAAAGTGGCTATTTCTCATGTTCTCATCAATATGAATATCTGTAAATATCTTTTTTTTAATTTTGCAGATGTTATATCCAATATATGGGAAATGATTTTGTAATTTGCATTTTCCTTGCTGGTGAGATTGACTACATTTTCATAGGTCTATTGTTCATTTTTTCTTTTATTTCTCCTAAGGTTTTGGCCATAGGGTGCATGTGCTTACCAGAGAGATTAAGAGATATGAGAGGGAAAGTGAGAAATCATCCCCTGGAGGGATGGCCACACCACAAACCCTTCTCCTCCATTTTCCTCCTGGGATTTTGGACATGCATGCACGTGTGCCTGGTGTGATTTTCAAGCTGCCAGGTCCAGGACTTGAATCTTGCTCGACAATGTGAGAGTCCAGTGCCTTAACCACTATGCCACCTACTGGCCCCATATTGTTCACCAGATATAGTGTGGGTGAAAGAGTAGAGTCTGAGGAAGGACATTTAGAAGAAAAATAGAGAGGCAAAGCATTAATGGGACAAAGAAATGGGGTATTATCTGTTGAAGATAATTTTATAGTATTATCAACTGGACTGGGGAGAAGTGTACACATGTTGGAATATTCACTTTGTAAGCTAAATAACATGACTGACTGTATAAAAGAGCATGAAAAAATAAATAAATAAAAATGAAACAGAAAATACCATTCAAAATGAGGCCCAGTGAGAACTTTTTCACATGCTATTTCAAAAAACCTGTTTAATAAAGCTGAATCTTAAAAAGTAAGTAGATAATTATAGAAACTGTAGGAATTGCATATGTTCATGTGGTTCCTATAACCTCTTGAATGCCACAGACGACATGAAAAATCTACTGGGCAGCCTCAGGTTATTACTTACTATTTCAAAGTCATGAACTTGCTTTCTGTCAAACTCATGGAAGAGTTCAAAACCAAAATTAAAAACTGGACTATTTATTAAACTTAAAAACATTAAGTTTCAGGACATATTTTGAGCTTGAGATAAATTGTGTACCAATATTTACATTCACACCATTAAGGTAAAACCCTGATATTGTCAGTGAAAAGTACCAGGATGGAAGGAAATAGTAGTATATTTTCATTTATTCTTTAAGTCCTCACTTGAAAAATTCCACTGCATCACAGTCTGGCTTTACTTACTTGGAATGCTTTTCCATCGTCAAGCCTATGTGCCAGGCCTTTACAGAAACCAAAGATCCAGCCCTTCCCCTAAGATGTTTCTAGTTAGGCAAGATCTCCCCAGTGGGAGAGAATGGAGTCTTGAGGACAGCAGAGGGAAGGGGAGCTTGCAATAACAGCAAATGTGCATGAAAGACTCAGTATGTGGTGGGTACTGTTCTAAGTCCTTATGACCACCCTCTGAGATAGATCCTATCGTTATCCCAATTTCCTGAAGAGACTGAGGGCTTTACCATTTTGCACAAGGTCACACAGCTAGTAAGCAGAAGAATCCCATTTAGAACTACTTACTAATATTCTACTGTCTTTCGGTTTGGTCTTTGTAGCAGACACCAAACGAGGAATGTTTGTTCCTGGAAAGGCTGGAGGAGAACCATTACAACACCTACATATCCAAGAAGCACGCAGAGAAGAATTGGTTTGTTGCCCTCAAGAAGAACGGAAGCTGCAAACTCGGTCCTCGGACTCACTATGGCCAGAAAGCAATCTTGTTTCTCCCCCTGCCAGTCTCCTCTGATTAAAGAAATCTGTTTTGGGTGCTGACCACTCCAGAGGAGCCTCAAGGGGTCCTCACTTGGTTGACCCCCAAACATTCCCTTGACCATTGGCTGCACTAACCCCCAGCCCACAGAACCTGAATTTGTAAGCAATGTGCTTCTAAATGCCCAGCTCACTTGTTTTGCAGAGCCCTTTAACCCAGCACAGGTGGGAATAGAAGGACCAAATAGCTTCTTGGGGCCAACTGGCTGGCCAGTCTGGGTCTGGGTTTGGGTGTCCAATGGCCTCTGGGGACCTGCTGTAGGCTGAGCCTCTCAATGTAAAGGTGGGTGGGGGCCAAAGCAAGTGTGTTAAGGGGTCTGCCAAGTGGGTCATTAGTAACTGCATACCATTTCCCTCGACTGGGTAAACCCTGTTTGCAATTCCCCCAAACATCCGGCATGACTCCCTTTGTCCTTTGAGTATGCACAAATATTAGCAGAGAAGCATTTAGCTAGGTTAGAGGACAGCAGCATTTAACGAGTAGAAATAGGGACAGAAATCCCCCCTCATACAGAAAAGAATAAACACGAAAAGGAAGATTGGATTTTGGTGAACAGCTTAGAAGGATGGGATCTCAATGCAGAATGGAGGGGAGGCTCAGCCACAGGAGAGCAGAATAAATCCATCGCCTTGGGAGTCACTGCCATGCTTTGAGCTTCCCAAGGTTACTCAGTGGCAGGGAGCCTCTGTAAGATGTCAGGGAGAGAGTTTGAGAAGTGGATTCTCTACAAAAGGAAAGCCATGCGATGTTGGGAAATTCATCTTGGTCTGGGGTGTGGAGGTGGGAGTGATGAGAAAGAAAGGGAAGCATGACTGAAAGAATGTTATCCTCTAGGGAGGATAATTTTAGAAGTGAGATAGAGAAAGTGGCCCTATGAGTTGTGCTCGGCCACCGGCAAGCAGAAGCTTAGAGGGCTTGGGGTATTCTCCAACTCTGATATGTACACGGGTCACCTAGGGACCTGGTCTGAATGTAGATTTGGATTGATTGAGTCTCAGGTAGAGTTGCAACGTTTCCAACAGGCTTCCGGGTGGAGATACTGCTGCCTTCCCTTACCTCGTTTAAGGAGCACCATCCTAAAGAATGACATCCAGACAAAGGTGCTCACATCTCAGACTCATACTCTGATCCTTACCACACCTCAGCCTCACCCTGAAAAATGTACACCCTGAGTCTCCCTGAGCAGCCAGGCAGCGTGGATGGTAGTTAACGTCTGTAGTAAGGAGCACGGTTTTAAGGTGCTTTAGCCCACTGCCTATGAAATGCCCATTTAGAAGATATACAAAAGCGTACTGCAGAAATGTTCAACTCCCACAAACAGCTTTTCCCGAGTGACTATTTGTGCTACCATTACTTGTATAAATATGCTTCCTGCTTAAACTAAACTTGACCCAAGTGGCTAGCAAATTAGAAACACCATTCATCTCTGATATATGATGCCAATGCCATGTAAAGGCCTTTAATAAGCCATTTAAATTTACTGTGAGATTGTATGTTTTAACCACATTTAAACTATATATAGCTCAAAGGCAGTTAAACTGATTAGCACTCAGCCACTGAGAATGGTCATAATGGGACACAAGGTATAAGCTACTCAATTATCTAATACTTCTACTACATTTATCTCTAAAATGGGATTTTGCTCTTCCGTTGTGCTGTTACAAATTTTCTTTTGAAAATGGGGACTCTTAAGCAATGATATAATTGTAGAGAAAAACCGATGAGCATGTTAGCTCATATTTTATAAGGAACTGAAGTAATCACGATTTGAAAAAACATTTCTTAGTAACTGAACTGTCATATGAAGAGTGAAAGAAAAAGAAAATTGGTAGAAAGTTCAAAGCAGTTGTACAACTGAGGAATTGAACTAAGTAAGTTGCCATTACAGTTAATAGTAGTATTCTACATTTGTACAGCAAGCTGATGTCAGGACTTTCTTTTCTTATTGTATCTTGGATCAGATGATTCTATTTTATTTTAGCAAATTTTTGCCGGCCAGTAGGGGATATTACAGTGTGGCTTAACATCTCTTCAGTTTGAAGATTTGGCTAGAAAAAGGTACCCAGAGAGGAAATCTAAGATGTTTATAATGGTCCATAGTTGGTATAAATCAAATTCAAGTATAACACTGGCCAAGAAAAATTAAATATCATTGCTAACAGATGAGAAGCAAGTCTGTGGTTCCGGAGATCCATCCATTGTCGTAGAAACACTACCCCGACCATCTGAGCCCAGTCATCATTCATGCATTTGCTCAATGAGTACTTAGCTCCCACCACACGCCAGGCACCGTCCTGAGTACTGGGCCCCTGGGGACCTCGTCTGTCTGGTTTGCTGCTGTACCCTCTCCCAGGGCATTATATTTATAAAGAAAGATTTTCTCTCAGTCGAGTCAAACATAGACTTTGCAGTTTCCTGTTACAGAAACAGAAGGTCTGAAAAGCTCAGATTCTGAAAGAATTAGCAACCTCGAGCCTAAGATAAACCCCTATCAAAGTGTCTGAGGACACGCAAAGGAAGGCTGACATTTAAACTTCAGAATCACGTCAGCTCCAGGGGGACCCCCCTGTGACATCCTGTCAGAAGGGAGCAGTTGGCAGTCCTATGCCCTGTTTCACCATGCACTAGTTAGTCAAACTTGAGAACATCCCCATTGCCCTCTCTCTTCTTCCCATGAATCTTGTAGCCATCTGCCTGTCATGTGCCACTCATAGGGACTCATCTTCAGGCCAACTGTGATGAGTTGCCTGATGCTTTGCACAAAGCGCTAGGAGCATGTGTGCTTCGATAGCTTGCAAAATGGTGGTGGAAGAGATAAGGGATGGTAATGGAGCCTCCTGCAGCCAACACTGTGTATATACAGAAAAACTGCTTGGAGCATCAGCTGTTACTGAAGAATAAGGTCCTGGCTGTGTGTCAGAGGCGGCAGAGCCCGAGTCCTCAGCCTTTAGAGCACACGGCCAAAACAGTGGGGCCATGGGCTGCAGAGAGACCTCTGATGAAGAAGATGCCTGTCATTTCACATCACTGTCTCTTTTGTTGGTATCACATCTGCACCTTCTAAATATTAATAAATGTTCCATTACTAGGCGATAATGTCTCTGAGTTTCTGAGCAACGCGGTGCCTCCTGGTTCTAGTGAAGGGACTTCCCTCTGCATCCCTGAGGTGTGGCTGCTTCCTTTTCTATACTGACCTTGTTACCAGATATGAGGCTTTAAAGGCTGACAGAAAAAGCTCTGGTAGAAATACTTCTCATTTCGTTTGAAAACGTAAGGTAATAAAAGTGATTTTCCAGGTTTTTGTCAGGGAAATACACACAGGTAATTTACCCCTTGAGAAGCCGAGTCTCACAAATAAATTAGTTGAAATTTTTTCTTCAGAGAAGCAACTATATTAAATTATGCAACCAGTGTTGAGCTGACTGGCTTGTGCTTCGGCAAAGACATCGAGACCTGAAAAGAAAACTTTAGAATTTTTTTTTTTTTTTTTTTTTTTTTTACAATTTTAGGTCAAGGGTAAGAGGGTATCTCTCTTCATCTCAAGAGTTCTGATGTGAGGCTATAAATTCACCCATTAGGTTTTCTGAATTACCATACTAAGCAATATTTCCTTAAGTATATCTCTGAATCTTAGGACTTTTTACTTTATTTTAAGAGAGATTTTTGCTATAGGGTATGTGTGCTCGCCAGAGAGACAGAGAGTCAGAAAGCGAGAAATCATCCCCCAGGAAGATGGCCACACTGCATCCGTTCTCCAATCTTTTCTCGGGATTTTTGGCACACATGCACACACACCCCGCATAAGTTTTAAGCTGCTGGGTCTGGGACTTGAACTGCGATGGACCACGTGGGAGTCCAGATACGTAACCATTACAGCACCTGCTGGTCCCAAGACCTTTTATTCTTAGGAGGAAGTACCATGTTGCCTAGCAGCACACCGCGGCAGAATGGATCACACCATACACACATGCACGTACACTTACAAAGTTGGGCAGTGTGTGCCCGTTCTGCTAATTACATGCTTCAATCAATTCCTACTTTTCCATTTAAAGTTGCCTAAAGCAGTATTTTTTACTCTTTGGAACTTGATCCACAATAAGAAGTGTATCTTCTATTACTACCTGGCACGTATGTTCATTATTTATTAATTAACAAATAATTATTCAAAACCCATAAGAGATACAATTTGAATTTTCTATTAAGTTCCTCTAAAAAACAGTGGTCAAATATCCGTTAAATTGGGTTACATTACTGGGTCACAACCACAGTTTGAAACACACTGTCCTAAAGCTACCATTCTGCTCAAAGATGGGGAGAACCAGTATGGACCCTGTGTTATGACTTTCATGTTTTCATAGACATGGTTTGTTTTTGAATAAACAAGGAGACATCCGATTACCCAGGAACCATGTATTCTGAAGACTCATGAATTAGCAGTAATCCAGTTTTTTTGAAATCATGCAAAATCAATTTAATGATGTGGATTCCAAGGTCACCTACTCTCGCTTCCAATGCTGATTGAAGCAGACTTCTGCTCCTGGAAGCCTTGGAGACCAAGCCTTGGAGACCCCCACTCCTCCTTTAGCATTCTCATCGTTTTGGGTCTTGAGATCATTCTCTCCCTAACTCCCGTAGTCTTCACTTCATTCCTCTCTTTAGTCCCAAATTTCTATTTCATAGTCATTTCTAAGAAAGATATAAAAAGTAGCCTAAGCTAGGAAAAGGCTATAATCCTAAGGCCTCTGTGCATCAGCTCCCAGCTTCAGAACTCTGTGAAAATTACTCTCTCATTTCTTGCCTACCTAAGAAAAGTTTCCCCTCATGACTCAGTCATAAGATAAATGCCACTGCCACTGGAATGCAGCATACACTGGGATTTTTAAATTCCCATCTTAATGTTTATTGCCCTGTTTTGATCATTACACATCGAATTCAAGCAATGAAAAATGGCACTGTACACCATCAATATGTATATCTATTATATGTCCATTAAAAATTATAGTAAACATGGGGCCAGCAGGTGGCAAGGTGGTTAAAAGTGCTGGACTCGTATATGGCTGACCGTAGTTCGAGTCCCAGACCTGGCAGCTTGCTTTCTCATTTTCTCTTTCTCTCTCATTCTGTCCCTCTCTGGTCAAATTAAAAACATAAATAAATAAATAAAGTTCGATAAAAAACACTCTTTTAAAAAATTATAATAAACAAATTCCCATCTTTCTTGAACCGACTAAAAATTAATTTTATGCCCTAGATGTTTAAGACTGGCTGAGACTGGGTCGCTATGGGTGAACTCGACCACAAAGAAAAATATAATTGAAGTCATCACTTTTATATTTATCTGAGTGATATCCTATTAGATGTGGGGTGGACAGAGGAAGGAAATCTCAAATCCTAAGCACTTCTGGGTTGTTGTTACCTTACCTACTATGGTAACAGTGGCACATCAAATAATACATACCTTCAACTGCACTTTACAAATTAGCAAAAATTATTTTTAGAGGCAACAGTCAATGTAGAAATTCTTTAAGTCCAACCAAGCAGCTCACTTATAGATTATTCATTCATAATTACTAAGGAGGAGCTGACAATCATTAAAATTAAAATAGGGGGCTGGCCCCATGGCCTAGTCATTAAGGGAGCCAGATCCCACGTGGCTGACTACCGTTCGAATCCTGACCCCAAGAGCTTGAAAAACATGCTGGTTGGTACATGTGCATCCATGTCCAAATCCTGATAGGATGGAGAAGTAAGTAGAAAAGAACAGATTGTGGCAAGATCATGCCCCATTCAGATATGTTTTCTCTCTCTCTCTCCCTCTCTCTATCTCATGCACCTGCCTTCTGGCAAGCAAAAAACAAACAAACAAACAAAACAAAAAACAAACCTAAAATAATGGCTAATTAGTGGCACCCCCCTCTCTCCTACTCCACTTACTCCACTCCTTAAACTTGTATTTCACCTTCAGAAAAAAAAATTCCATTTGCCATTGTACATAAATGACTGTAAAATCCAGTCAGAGAACCCAGAGCTTCAGGACTAGGGATCTGCTGTCAGGCCCTCCAGATCCCAGTGATTCAACTAACAGTGGAAATGTACTGAAGGACTATTGGACTCTCTGCAACATTGGGCCCACTTCACGGTTGACATATTGACCACGACATACTGCACTGCTGGCTTTCCACCCTAGTTATAAAATTAAAGAGAGAAACCGGGTCACACACAGCCTCAAGCCAGAGTGTGGGTTTGCTTGATAAAATACACATAGTGTACGACCTAATTTGGGGGTCTTCTGATAGGTCTGAGAATGTTTGTGATGTGGACAAGAGGTATTTCCCAAATTGCTTCCTTCCCTCTTAGATCCCCATGGCCACACAGCCTAAATTTACGTTCAGCTGCTAGCCACTGGTGTCTGTTTTATTACCCAAACAATCAAACCTCACCGTGTCCTTGACGTGCTTTTCTATCAGCCCTAATGAAGGGTTGATCACTCCATTTTTGGAACTGTGCTCAATTTAAGGATTTGGTTCACTTGGCCAGAACATTTTGGGAAGGAGATGTGGACAGGCAATTTGTGCCAACTGTCACAAAAAGACACTTCATTGTGATTTCCACATTTCATGCTTTCCTGAAAAAAAAAAATTTTAGTCTAACT